TAAAAGCGTCTGTGTGTAGAAGGGTTCGTGTGTAGAAGTGTTGGTGTGTCAAAGCGTTTGTGGGTAGAAGCGTTTGTGTGTACAAGCTTTTGTGCGTCAAAGGGTTTGTGTGTAAACGTGTTTGTGTGTGAAGGGGGCTTGTGCGCAAAAGGGTCTGTGTGTCAATGCGTCTGTGTGTAAAAGCGTTTGTGTGTAAAAGTGTTTGTGTGTAAAAGGTTGCGTTAAAAGGGTTTGTGTGTAAAAGAGTTTGTGTGTAAAAGGTTGCGTTAAAAGGGTTTGTGTGTAAAAGAGTTTGTGTGTAAAAGCGTTTGCGTGTAAACGTGTTTGTGTGTAAAAGTGGTTGTTGTGTAAAAGTGTCCGCGTGGTAAAGAACATGTGTGTAAAAGCGTTTGCGTGTAGGTGCGTTTGTGTGTGAGAGGGGTGGCTGGGTAAAAGGGTTTGTGTGCAAAAGTGCCTGTGTGTAAAAGCGTCGGCGTGTAAAAGGCATTGTGGGTGAACTTGTTTGTAAAAGCATCTGTGTGTGTGCGGGTGTGTGTGTGTGTGGAACGTCTGAACAAGCGTAAAACTTCGCTGGTGGCTCATTTTTATACATTTTATTAAAGCAGGGGGTCACCGGGGTCCCGTGGGGGTCGGTGACCAACCAAGACACCTCCCCGGGACCCGTGAAACGTACTTGCGGGACCTTGGTGGTGCACCTGGGCGCATTTAAGTCGCAGCTGATGGCCAGAATAGTCCCATATATATATAATTATAATATATTACAATTATATATATAATATTCTTGTCCAAGTGCATGTTATGGGGTTCAGTTCCCGACGGATCACTCTAATGATCCAGTTCTTTGCCAGTGTGATTTCCATCATGCCTCCAACATGGTGCCATGGACCCAGTTGAGGGAACCTTTCTTAAGGCGAATGCGGACTGACTTGACGTCTGAATTTACACATTTTAATTTAGTAATTCGTTTACGTAAAGTGTAGCAGTTGGCCATTTTCCGAGTTTCACCTTGTCGGTCGTGGATCTGTTGAACAGCTGGCCGCAGTGTTGGGCCTCGCCTTTTTTGCCGGAATCTTCTGCATTTGTAGCCGTCAGCTGCGACAACCTCCTTTTTCCAGCTTTGCGCAAGAGAGTACGGAACTCGACATTTTGGCAACATGAAGAAATGTTACAGGCAGGTTCACGACCGTAGGTGTGGTGAATTCTTTCTTTTGATGGTTTTCTGTTGAGGTTAAACATTTTGTGAACAGCCGTTTAATGCCCATTCGTAGGTTGACCGACTACCGTCCCTTCGAGGGAATAACGCACGACTCTAGGTCTGAACTGAATCCCATTCAATTTTGTTGCTTCCACTTTTTCATCAACTTGTTCCCCATTCGGCCCCATTTCATGCGTTCTTCCCTCCCCAGGTAGGTTGGGTCCTTCGCGTGCCGAGGTAGGCGTAGGTTTTCGCTGTGTCAGGTTGGTTCAGGCGCTTCCGTCTTCCCCCCCCTCCGCTGGTCTTGTTCCGTGTCCGTCGGCCTCCGCTTTTCTTTTCCCTTGCCTGTTCAGGGTTTGCCCGCCCCGGGCCATGTGTGTTGGTGTTCGTGTTTGCTCCCTCCCTCTTCTTTTGCGTTCCCCTCCCCGTGTCCCGGTTAAGTAGTTTCTCACCTCATCTTCACTCATCTCATCTTCATCCCCTTTTCATCCTCACCTTCACCTCATTTGCAAGGTCTCCACCCTGCCTAGTGCAGGGTGTGTGTGTGCGGGTGTGTGTGTGTGTGGAACGTCTGAACAGGCGTAAAATTTCGCTGGTGGCTCATTTTTGTACATTTTATTAAAGCAGGGGGTCACCGGGGTCCCGTGGGGGTCGGTGACCGACGAAGCCACTTCCCCGGGACCCGTGAAAACGTACCTGCGGGACTTTGGTGGTGCACCTGGGCGCATTTAAGTCGCAGCTGGTGGCCAGCATAGTCCCATATATAATTATAATTATATATATATAATATAATCTTGTCGAACTGCATGTTATGGGATTCAGTTCCCGACGGATCACTCTAATGATCCAGTTCTTTTCTAGTGTGTGAAAGGGTTTCTTTGTAAAAGTGTTGGTGTGTAAAGCGTCTTTGAGTAAAGGGGCTTGTGTGTAAAAGTCTGTCTGTGTAAAAGTGATTCTGTATAAAAGCGTCTGTATGTAAAAGCGGCGGTGTGTAAAAGCAGCTGTGTGTTTAACAGGGATCATGTGTAGCCTGCTTGCGACAGAGTCGTGTCCCGGCTCAAGTTGAGAGATGTGGCAGAGTTGGAATTCTTGCATATGCTTGGCTGAGATAGCACAGAACAAGTCAATTGGGTCAGTCTGAGACTTGCTCGTGCACAGTGTACTCTTTTGAAACGATGCCAGCAAAATAAAGACGCTGATTGCTTCTCCACATGCAGAATCCGTGGCGTTTTTTTTCAAGTGGCATTACCAAGTCAAACAAAGGTTCAAAGTGGCATTCCTAAGTGGCATTGCCAAGTAGCATTTCTATGTAGAATTGCTAAGTAGCATCCTTAGGAAGCATTGCTAAGTAGAAGTAGAAAGTAGCATTTCTAAGTAACATGTCTAAGTAGCATTGCCAAATAGCCAGCCATCTGTTTGCTCCAGTTTAACTAGCGAACACGAAGAAGGGTCAACCATGTGTAGGCAACACGGTAATACAGCAGGTTGCTGGTTCACAAGGCTACTGCGCCATTGGCACTCCACTTCTTCATGTGTAGGATTGCTAAGTAGCATTGCTAAGTAGCATTGGCCTAGTGAGAGTCATGTGAGAATCATGTGAGCTGCCAGCCCACTGCAACGTCTTTCTGCCAACGTGTTTGTGTCTGTGTGTAACCGTGTTTGCGTGTAAAAGCGTCTGTGTGCAAAAGCGTCTGCGTGTAAAAGCGTTTGTGTGTAAAAGGGGATTGTGCCTAAAAGGTGTGTAGAAAACTGTTTATGTGTAAGGGAGTCTGTGTGTCAAAAGGGTTTTATGTGTAAAAGCGTCTCTGTGTGTAAAAGTGTTTGTGCGTATAACGTCTGTATGTAAAAGCATCTGTGTGTGATACAGTCTTTGTGTAAAAACACAATTGTGTGTAAGGCATGTTTGTATGTATGAGCATGCTTGTATGTAAAAATGTCCGTCTCAATTCTTCTTCCTGTGTCTCCTTCGTTTCATCTTTCTTTTATTTCTCCCTCAATTTCTTCATATGTACTTACTTTTCACAACATGTCTGCACCATGTCCCTTTCTTCATATGTACTTACTTTTCACAACATGTCTGCACCATGTCTCTTCATGTTAGGCATCATCGTATATTCACGTCGCTTCGCGACGGCAACCGCCCGCACCGCATCGTTGGGCAGCCGCTCGTAACTGCCAATGATGTCGGCCATTGAGACCAAAAACATCCGAAAGTACTGATTGTCGGAAAAAAAACGCGAAGAATTTGATAGCCATGTATAGCGGACCAACGCAGTTCAAAAATAACGAAAAACATGAAAAAACGGCGAAATTGCTGTTATTTACAGTGTTTTTGCGCGGTGAGAAGCAGAAACCACTGCAAATACCATGGTTTTTGAGGGTCAGGTGGCCAAAAACACTGTAATTTACAGTGGTTTTTTAACCAACGTCAAAAAACACTGGTATTTACGATGTTTTCATTCACACCGTAACATAAAACAGCGTAATTTACGAGGTTTTTGGAAGTTTTGAAGCTAGCCGTCAAGCATGCAGAAAACAGAAAAACACTGTAACAACCAGTGTTTCTGCTATCACAAAACGACGAAAATCAGTCCGAAAACGGGTCCAAAAACTCAAAAATCCGCCTCCGGGCCCGGCCACCTGCGGAACCGCAAAAAAAGATGTTGCAAACCAAAAAATTGAGGTCAAAAAGTTGGAAAACACGGGTTTTTTTCACTGTTCGCTTGCCGATTTTGGACGGGCGCGTTCACGAACAGGTGTCTTCCGTACTGTTTTTTACAGTGTTTTTTGAAGGCGAGCGTCACGACCTATCAAAAACAGGAGGTTTTGGCCGAAAAATGGGACCCCCCCCCCCAGGTAAACCTGTAACCTTTTACGAGTGCCATCCGGAAGATCACGCCCCAGCACCTTCGGTGCGGGCGGATTTCTATATTAATGTTTCATGCTATAAGATCTTCATACTTACACCTCTCACTGTGCTCCTCTACGCTCTCGGGCCATCCGTCGTCTACTTTTTGTGGTTTCTGCTAATTGCTGGTAGCAGAGCCTTCCTGCTCCAGGCGCTGCCATTCCAATTTGCCGAGCAGTCGGCAGAATACTGCAACGGAAAGGAACACCTGAGTATCTTCTAGGTACATGTTTGGGCTATACTCAAAATGACAATTTGGGAGCCAAAACCATTCGATTCCAATTTCCTGCAGCCATAGCCATTTGGCTCAGGAACTCTAATCTACAGCGCGGCAGCAACGAAGAGAAACGTGATTTACTTTGACAGATATGGGAACAGTGGAATTTGCCCAAAGCTTCCCAAAGTCACATCAAAATTTCAACATTTCAAATAAGGCTTATTCTCAATGTACCTTTTGAATCCTTTCGACACTTTTGGCCTTTGAGGAGGCTGTCCTAGAGGCAAGAAAAGGGAGAAATGCAAAGGAAAGAAGTTCTCATCCATGTTGGTTTGAAGAACAAGCGAGCGAAGGTTAGCACAGTTTGAACAACTTGAAATGGAAGACCGAAGTGATGGAGCCGTCAATACTTCTGGCAGGACTTCGGTGAAACATGAAACGCCGCTCTCTTTCCAGGTTCGTAGACTCCCAAAGTTTACCTGCCAACATCTCCAAAGCACATTCCTGGTGATGTTCATGCACAGAAAGCATCCACTTGATCAGTTTGTTTTGCAAGTAATAGCCATCATTTACTGAAAGCTTACCGAATTACCGTGACCAAAGCAGATGAACGAACAAAATCCCGTGGCAACTATGCCTTCGTGCCTTCGTCAGGATTACAAATTTGCTAGCAGTAGTGGATGATCGATTGCGAGCAGCCGTCAAACCGCAGGCTTGGAAAGCATGTCTTGAATTGTCATGTTTGGATTGATGGTCTCTCCACTCAGCATTTTGGAATGCTTTTGACCACCGCAGCCAAGATCACAGTGAAGCATTTGCACCAAGTGGACCAAGCGCTAAGCAACAGATTCCTTCACCAGGTTGGGGCATCTTCTTCACCTTTGGGAGTCATCGCGGCTCCTGCTGCAGTCCTGTGCGGCATATTTGGTGCCACCTTGCTTGGGGCAATTTCCTATCGACGAAGTGCCCGCCGCATAACAAGGACACTTGAGGTGGCTTGATCAAAGCTGTTTCGTTCAACAACCAATATCGCAGAATTTTCTGGAATATGTTTCCGGTTTCCGATATTTCACGGCATTTTCTTTGGAAGCCCGACGCGCTGCCAGCTTCTCAGCGCGTTGGGCGCACAACTTTGGACACTGTCGTCCGGTGACGCTCCGCAGGCTACAGCTGCTCCACAACCCTCCGTACCAGAGCCCAGCACAGGCCCTGGCAGCCCTGGGGGCCTTGCGGGCCCTCTTCACGCACCGAGAGCCACAGACTTCTTGACCAAGGGGGAGATCATGTACCTCTTTGTGGTGCCAGGCCTGCCAGCCTGACGCTTCAAGGAATTCACCATGAAATGGACATGACTCCAAACAGTCAAACAGTTTCTTTTGGGACTATCTTGTCTCGGCACCAAACTGGAAGCTTGATGCTCTGCAAGGGCAGCTGCCTTTCACTTGTAAATGCTCCTTCGTTGAGGCTAGGAATGAATAAATTGTATATAATATGTTTTAGAGCGTGTAAAAACCGAGCGATGTATGTTCTGGTGCTAAGGGGTAATGTGGTTTGGTCTGGTCTGGTATGTCGTATAGTCGGGCACAGCAGGGGTCGGTTGTACGGAAAGGGTTTAGGCAGTTGAATCCTGAATTCCCAGTCTCTGTGCATCCGAAGCCATGAAAACATGTTTGTATGTCATGCCCGCTCATATCCTGTCAGAAAAAACGTGGCACATGGTCGCATTCGCTGTGATCATGAGCTTGTGAAGTGCTGCATCAATTGGACAAAGGTCCTGCTGGTGTCAGGAATTAGATGCTGGTGTTTCGGAGTTTCGAAGGGAAATCCCGGTCAAAACTAGGAAACTCCCTTTGCTCCAAGTCCTGTCTTTATGTCAAAGAGCATGCTGATACTTCAGAATAGATATGTATATATGATAATAATATATATATATATATGTATATATATGTCTGTATGTCTATAATTATATGTGTATACAGATGTATATATATATATACATATATGTGTGCGTGTCTTATTATGTATGTATATCTGTATATGTGTATATGTGTATATATTTATCCATATCTATATCTATATCCATATCTATATCAATATCTATATCTTTCAAAATAATGAAAATAATAAACACGTATATAATAAATAAATGAATGAACGAAAGAATAAATAGATAAATAAATTGGCCAATAAGTAAATAATGAATAATGAATAAATAAACAAATACATAAATAAATAAATAATGAATGAATAAATAAATTAGAATAAATAAATAAATAAGTAAATAAATACATTAAATAAATAAATAATTCAATCAAGAAATAATAAATATATACATAAATAAATAAATAAAATTAAAAATAATAAATAAATAAATAAATGAATAAATAAATAAATTAAATAGATAGAGAGATAGATAGATAGATAGATAGATATATACATATATACACAGAATATGGAGATACATACGGACTGCAAATAGATACCGACGAGATCTCCCCTCCTTCCATGTCTTCCTCCAAGGCTTGGCAGTCGAGGGCAGGAATACACCAAGGTAATTGGGAAGACCCCGGAAGACCTAGCGAATTAATGTGAATTATATAGTATGAACTATGTGAATTGCAAGTGGCCAAAGGAAGTTTAGGAAGAAACTTCTGAGTTAAGGACGAACTGAATTACCTGAATTACCTCAACAACACATAGCCTCAATCACAGCATCACATCATAATTACATCACTTCAACACTACATCACCTCAATCATTACATCACCTCAACACTACGCCACCTCAATCATTACAAAACCTCACCTAATACATTCCTCAATCGCTACACATATGGGGCTTATGTGGAGCTCATATGGAGCTCACTTCATTCACTACATCACCTCAATCGTTGCATCACTTTTTCTGTATTGTTGAAGCCATGTTCGGCGAAGTGGTAGTGACGCCGTGAAATGCTGTAAATTGCAGGGGGTGGATCTTGTCGTCATGCCCGTTTCATGCCCGGAAAAGTCCGCGCTGTTGACGGTGTTGCAAGGTTTGAGACGTAAGGTGGATGTCTTCGTGTCATTGTGTTTTGTGAGGCAGGGTTAGATCGCCGTGGAACGGTGGTGCACCAGTTGTTGGAGCTAGTTCGGCGATGATAAAGAGAGAAATGCGCAGACCGATTCTAACAGAAGGGTGGCCGCTGCGTGTCTCTGCGAATGGCACGGCGGCCCAAAGTCAGTCTGTGTGTCTCTGCGCGTCCGAAGCGTGAAAACAGGTAGCAGGCTTTTCTGCCTGTTTCAATGAAAGCCCAAGTCAAAGCATTGCGCCCCAAATCTCATTGATTTCAAAATCTTTGCCATCATTCATTCATTCCATTCCATTCCATTCCATTCCATTCCAATCCATTCCATTCCATTCCATTCCATTTCCATTCCATTCCATTCCATTCCATTCCATTCCATTCCATTCACTCATTCCTTCATTCCTTCCTTCATTCATTCACTCACTCACTCATTCACTCATTCACTCATTCATTCCTTCATTCCTTGATTCCTTCATTCCTTCATTCCTTCATTCCTTCATTCCTTCCTTCCTTCCTTCATTCATTCATCCATTCATCCATTCATCCATTCATTCCATGCATTCCATGCATTCCATTCATTCCATTCATTCCATTCATTCCATTCATTCCATTCATTCCATTCATTCCATCCATTCCATCCTTTCCATTCCATTCATTCCCATTCCCATTCCATGCATTCCATGCATTCCATGCATTCCATGCATTCCATGCATTCCATGCATTCCATGCATTCCATGCATTCCATGCATTCCATGCATTCCATGCATTCCATGCATTCCATGCATTCCATGCATTCCATGCATTCCATGCATTCCATGCATTCCATGCATTCCAGGCATTCCAGGCATTCCAGGCATTCCAGGCATTCCAGGCATTCCATGCATTCCATGCATTCCATGCATTCCATGCATTCCATGCATTCCATGCATTCCATGCATTCCATGCATTCCATGCATTCCATGCATTCCATGCATTCCATGCATTCCAGGCATTCCAGGCATTCCAGGCATTCCAGGCATTCCAGGCATTCCATGCATTCCATGCATTCCATGCATTCCATGCATTCCATGCATTCCATGCACTCCATCATTCCATGCATTCCATCCTTTCCATGCATTCCATGCATTCCATGCATTCCATGCATTCCATGCATTCCATTCATTCCATCCATTCCATCCATTCCATCCATTCCATCCATTCCATCCATTCCATCCTTTCATCCATTCCATCCATTCCATCCATTCCATCCATTCCATCCATTCCATCCATTCCATCCATTCCATTCACTCCATTCATCCATTCATTCCTTTCATTCCATTCATTCCATTCATTCCATTCATTCCATCCATTCCATCCATTCCATCCGTTCCATCCATTCCATCCTTTCATCCATTCCATCCATTCCATCCATTCCGTCCATTCCGTCCATTCCATCCATTCCATCCATTCCATCCATTCCATTCATTCCATCCATTCCATTCATTCCATTCATTCCATTCATTCCATTCATTCCATCATCCATTCCATCATCCATTCCATCATCCATTCCATCATCCATTCCATCATCCATTCCATCATCCATTCCATCATCCATTCCATCATCCATTCCATCATCCATTCCATCATCCATTCCATGATCCATTCCATGAGCCATTCCATCATCCATTCCATCATCCATTCCATGATCCATTCCATGAGCCATTCCATCATCCATTCCATCATCCATTCCATCATCCATTCCATCACCCATTCCATCCATTCCATCATCCATTCCATCATTCATTCCATTCATTCCATTCATTCCATCCATTCCATTCATTCCATTCATTCCATTCATTCCATTCATTCCATTCATTCCATTCATTCCATTCATTCCATTCATTCCATTCATTCCATCCATTCCCTTCATTCCCTTCATTCCCTTCATTCCCTTCATTCCCTTCATTCCCTTCATTCCCTTCATTCCCTTCATTCCCTTCATTCCCTTCATTCCCTTCATTCCCTCCATTCCCTCCATTCCCTCCATTCCCTCCATTCCCTCCATTCCCTCCATTCCCTCCATTCCCTCCATTCCCTCACTCGCTCGCTCGCTCGCTCGCTCACTCGCTCACTCACTCACTCACTCACTCACTCACTCACTACTCACTACTCACTCCCTCACTCCCTCCCTCCCTCCCTCCCTCACTCACTCACTCACTCACTCATTCATTCATTCATTCATCCAACATCATTCCTTCCAAGTCATTCGACAGCTCAATTCGATTCAGTGAAATTCAACGCAGTTCAAGCCAATCATTCAGGCATTTGCTCCTTGAGGCAAAACAATGTTGTTCACTCGCTTGCTTTCTTCGATCCATTCCGTTCACTTCAGTTCTAGTCAGTTTCAGTTCCTTCCGGTGCGCTTCCCCATCTTGTGTGGGTCAAGCTTGACCTGACAACGCCAAACCTGCATTTCCTACAGGTTCCCTTTCGCTATAGTCATTTTCCTTTTTTGAAACTTCCGCCCGCGCCGCGTGCAGGCACCACTGGTAGATATGTTCAACATTGTGCCTACATGCATTCGTCTCAAAGTCTCTCAAAGGGCTGGTTTTTCCGTCTTTGTAGCTCCTATATAGTCCGTGGTGCTGGGGGAGCGGTTGATGATAGTAATGATTTATTCATTCTTGACTGAAGATCAAACACATCAAGCCCCGCAGGCTCCAGCATGTGATCATACGTCATACGTGGTCAATATGTGATCACCACGTTTATGTGATTTCAGCTGTTTTGGGCCACTCTACAGCATGTTTTATTGTAGAGTAGAGCTTCGCACATCGGCAATGCCATAAGGGTTATGTATAGAAGTGTGAGTCAGCATTGGTGTTGTTTCATGTGCTCGGCGAGTGCGCGCAGGTGCAGAGCACAGTGTGAT